GAAGTCAATGGGGATTTATTAATCCAGTGGTTCTCAACCTGGGATCCCCAGATGTTTTTGGCCTACAACTCCCAGAAGTCCCATCCAGTTTACCAGCTGTTAGGATTTCTGGAAGTTGAAGGCCAAAAACATCTGGGGACCCCAGGTTGAGAACCACTCTGTATTAATCCCTTCCACAGCACCAGAACTTGGATTTGTTCTCCTGGACCCTTGCATTAAGATTTATACAGACTTATTATATCAGACCCTTGTATTGAGATTGATAGGGATTTATTATCCTGGGCCCTTGCATTAAGATTTCTGATTTTAGCACCAAGTTGGAAGGTTGTTGTGGCCATCCCTGCGTGCAAATCTTCCCCTCCAAAAAGGAATTATTAGAGAAATTGAGCCCAATCGATGCACGAAAGTCTCGAAAGAGAAGGACCAAAGAAAAGCCCTCACCGACGCTTCAGTTTCGTGGCATGAAACTCAGCAGGGGAGCAAGATAGCACCACTTTCCTGCACCATGAAAACACAAGGCAAGAGTTGTGCAGCTCCCAGATAGGAAGGGCTGCAGGAAACCCGCTGGAGACATTTGGAAATATTATTTCCCAGGACATTTTTCTAGGGTCATAGTAGCACCACCCCAATGGCTTCAATGGGACCAGGGCAGCCTCGCGCTCCCAAAACCTGTGCATGAACACGCATTACTTGCGCTTTGTGCCATTTCTGTCTCTAGAATCGTTGGGGGTGACAGGCAGCAAAAGACGGGTCCAAGGAAGACTTTGCAAATCTCCAGCAGCAGAAACCAAGCAAATAACCAGCATAATTATGTATTTCATCCTCCTCACATTTAAGGTTAGAGGCGGATTGCAATACGGAAACAACCTCCAAGTTGTCATGCACGAAAAACATCAATTTAAGTAGGGATCAGGTTGGATGGAGTCCAACCTGATCAAATGGACCACATGATAAACATGGATTTATCAAAACCAAGTCAGACTCATCTGATCTCTTTTTTCGATAGAGTTACGAGCTGGGTATAGGCAGGGAATGCCATGAATGGAGCGTATCTGGACTTCAGGAAGGCCCTTCGACAAGGTCCTCCACGACCTCCTGGCAAGGAAACTAGTTCAATGTGAGCAAGGCAAAACTACAGTTAGGTGGATCTATAATTGGTAAAGTGAAAGAACCCAGAGGATGATCCTCCCCAATGCTTCCTATTCATCCTGGAAAGAAGTGATGAGTGGAGTGCCATCAGCAGGATTATGGGCCCAGTCCTTCATTAATGAAGGGTTAGAAGGCATGATCATCAAGTTTGCAGAGGGGACCAAATTGGGAGGGAGAGCCAATACTCAGGAGACAGGAGCAGAAGTCAAAATGATCTTCACAGATGAGAGAGATGGTGGGCCAAAACTAACATAATGAAGTTCAACAGGACAAAGAGGAGACACGATAAGGGCCGTGGATCAAGATGTGAGGGGAAGTCATAGAGAGGAGGGAGAAGGCTTATTTTCTGCTGCCCTGGAGACTAGGACACAATGGAACAATGGCTTCAAAGTAAAGGAAAGGAGATTCCACCTGAACATTAGGAAGAACTTCCTCACTGTGTGAGAGAGCTGTTCAGCAGTGGAACTCTCTCTCTACCCTAGCATGTGGTGGGGGCTCCTTCTTTGGAAGCTTTAAAGCAGAGGCTGGATGGCCATCTGTCAGGGATGCCTTGAATGAGATTTTCCTGCTTCTTGACAGAATGGGGTTGGACTGGATGGCCCACCAGGTCTCTTCCAACTCTAGGATGGTATGATTCTATGTCTCTTTGTGTGTCCACAGGCCTATACAACATGTAAAAATGTGTGGACACATAACAAACAACACAATACTCAAGCGAAGGTTTAGCTCCTGGATTGGAGGCTCAGTTCTGACTTCTCTGGGTACCTTCCAGCAAATGTGCATCTCCAAGCAAGAATATGAAGGAGACAAGCAATGTGTGGAAAGAAACTACCCATAAATCCTGTCCTACAATAGTTTGCCTTCCCCAGTTCTTCTAATATTTATCGCTTTAGTATACTCAGGAATTGAATTTTTGTCTCTTTTGTAGTAAGTCTATACTTTTTTGTGTATTCTCCTATTTCAAGATACACATTTTGACATGTTGTATAGGCCTGAGGTTTTATGGTCTCCTATCTACATTGAAACTCCCTTGGACCCCCAAATATGATCAAGTGATTCCAGCTAAAACCCGTTTGGAGGCGCATCACAACAAAGGGCATTTGGTCCCCCAGTCAGGAACCAATGCAAGGAGAGAAACGGGATTTTAAAAGGCTCAAATACATCTTTCTTTAGTTTCTACAACTAAGGAGAGATCTATTTGCGCCTTTTAAAATCCCGTTTCTCTCCTTGCATTGGTTCCTGACTGGGGGAAGCAGTATAAAGAGCATCAGGAGAAAGGAATGATTCATATGGCTGAAGGATGGAGAATGCTTCTGGAACATGGTCATAGAGCTCCAAAAACTCAAAGCAACCCTGGCCATGAAAGCCTTCAACACAGTGATTCAGACAACTCCAAACTTTTCCTAACGATTTGGAGTCTGTTATATTCTCTGCGTCACGAAACAAACCGCTTTCCCGTGACCGACCTTCCTTCCTTGAGAAACAGAAGGGGGTCAACGGCGTACAGTAAAGCAACAAATGAACAATGTGTTTTGTTTTTTAGAATGGAAAAAAAATCATCTCTATTTACATCGCCTTTTCCTGAAATAATCTGCTTTCGAACATACCGCTCTTCAAGTTAATGGGGTCATTCTTTTCTTTTTTCCTCTTTCTTTTTAAAACTTAGTGAAAGTGCTTTCTTTTGCTTTATTTAAAAAATGTCTTTTCTCTATTTACAGTTTTAAAATCAGAGCCTCAGAAAACGCTCAGGAACTGCAATTATAGCTCCTGCAAAACGTTTCCTTTTCCTGCCATTGAGCAAGGATTCCTTAGTAAGAAAGAGCTATATACAGAGTGGGGGATATACATACACACACACACATATATATAGATTATATATATATATATATATATATATATATATATATATATATATATATAAAAATTTGCAAGCCATCTTTTGTGTTTTTAAACTTCTCGAAAGGCACCTGTTCAATACAACAGAAAGGATCGTAAAAGTGTTTGGATCGCTAACAGGTTGCATCCCTGGCCTTCTGCACCTCTGAGAAATCCATCTTACGGGCCAAAAAGGGTCGAGAAGAGGTTTCCTACACAAATAAGACCCGTAGTCTGTTAAAATGTCTTTTAAAAAGCATGCAAAGATTCCTCCGTGGTCTCACCTGAAGCCAATCCCCATTTCGAGGCTTGGAGAGGTTTCCAATTTACCTCCTTGGCCTTCGAAAAATCCCATAGGATTCGCCCCAACGTCTGAAATAAACCCTTGGCATTTCCCCGGAACAAAAGGAAATCTGGCCTTAATATGGGAAAGGGGAGAAACACATGCACCCAAACTCATATGTTCCCATACAAAAAAACTGTTTATGGTGGAAGTGTTGCAAGGATTCCAAAGTGGAGACAATTTCATCCTAACCCCAGCAGGATCTACAGTGACTCCATGATGTCGTTTGAAACAGCATTATATAGTCAGCATAGACCAGGCATGGGCAAACTTCGGCCCTCCAGGTGTTTTGGATTTCAACTTCCACTGGCTGTTAGGAATTGTGGGAGTTGAAATCCAAATCACCTGCAGGACTGAAGGTTGCCCATGCCTGGTATAGACTCATACAATGCAGCATTATTACACTGGAGTGCATTATGAGTCGACATTGACCGTATAATTGCAATTTCAAACTTATGACAGATGGGGCCTTAGGCTGGATTTATGTTATCATATAGTGCACTTTAAACTGCATAGTATGAGTTTACACCAGTGGTTCCCAACCTTTTTTTGACCAGGGACAACTTTGACCAGGGCCCACTCTCCAACATTAGTACCCCAAGGGTTACAAATCGGTTTTTAGTCAATTTTAGATACGGTTTGGTTATTTGGGGTGCTGATTCAGAAAATCACACTGGACAGACCACATCAGCTCTAGTTTCTGATTCAGAACATATGCCATCCAGTAATCACCATCTGCGTGCCCATAGAAAACCATACAGTAGAGCAAGGGTCTTCAAACTTTTTAAACAGAGGGCCAGGTGACAGTCCCTCAAACTGTTGGAGGGCCGGATTATAATTTGAAAAAAAAAAGAATGAATTCCTATGCACACTGCACATATCTTATTTGTAGTGCAAAAAACACTTAAAACAATACAATAATTAAAACAAAGAACAATTTTAACAAATATAAACTTATTAGTATTTCAATGTGAAGTGTGGGCCTGCTTTTGGCTGATGAGATAAGATTATTGTTGTTGTTGTTGTGTGCTTTCAAGTTGTTTCAGATTTAGGTTGACCCTGAGCGAGGGCCGGGTAAATGACATTGGAGGGCCATATCCGGCCCTCGGGCCATAGTTTGTGGACCCCTGCAGTAGAGTCTCGCTTATCCAACCTTTGCTTAACTGCCATTGCTCTCACTTATCCAACCTCTGCTTTTAACTGCTGTGGTTCCAGGCCAAGCTGCAGTTTGGCAAGGTGTTTCGCCCTCCAAAAAGTGTGCAAACTACAGCAAAGTCTTGCTTATCCGACCTTCACTTATCCAACATTCTATCTTATCCAATGCTTTCCTTTTCCTCCAGCATTTCCCCAACTCTCTCTTCATTCCCAAAAAGTGAAAAAGGCCAGATGAGGAGGAAGAGGAGGGAGGAAAGGGTGAAAAGAGGCAGGACCAGAAGTGGAGGTGTCCTCCCTTCTTCCCTCTGTGATTTCCATACTCCTCTTCCTAAACCGGAAATCAGGAGACGCTTACTTCTTGGGAGGAGAGTAATGTCCAATCTCGAAAAGATAGAGTAGAGACATCACACTGGCAACAAAGATCCGCATAGTGAAAGCAATGTCACCTATGGATGTGAGAGTTGAACCTTAGGGAAGGCTGAGCGAAGGAAGAGAGATGCTTTTGAACTGTGGTGTTGGAGGAAAGTTCCTTGGACAGTGCGAAGATCCAACCAGTCCATACTTCAAGAAATAAAGCCTGACTGCTCATTGGAGGGAAGAATAGTAGAGGCCAAGATGAAGTACTTTGGCCACATCAAGAGAAGACAGGAAAGCTTAGAGAAGACAATTATGCTGGGGAAAATGGAAGGAAAAGGGAAGAGGGGCTGACCAAGGGCATGATGGATGGATGGTATCCTTGAAGTGACTGGATTGACCTTGAAGGAGCTGGGGGTGGTAACGGCCAACAGGGAGCTCTGGCGTGGACTGGTCCATGAAGTCACGAAGAGTCGGAAACGACTGAATGAATGAACAACAACTTCCTAAACCAGGCACTTCCTGCTGGGCTACTCTAGCCCTGAGGCATTACCTTGCCTTAACCCTTTGAGCCCTTGTTGTTAGTATTCTAGGTCTAGGTGTCTAGCGACGTGTCGGATGAGTAGGAGACTCCATATTATCCGACATTTTTGTTTATCTGACATTCTGCCAGCCTGTTTATGTTGGATAAATGAGACTCTACTGTATTTCATAATCTAGAGCTGATGTAGTAGTAGAAATCTTTCGTGGGTAGTCAGCCTCTCCTCTCCTGACATCCCCGTTGCCTCAACACTATAAGAGGGTTTTGTGAGACCAGTCCCTCTAGTTGCCGCATGTTTTTGAGGCAACGGTGTAGTGATGGTGAGGCCGCGAATCATATTGTCATTCTTGCTAACCACTGGTGGTCCACGGACCACAGGCTGGGAACCACTGGTCTATACTGACATTATAATGCAATTCCAAACTGCACCATAGCACAGTGTTGGCGATGACCAGATCGCCAACAGGAAGCTCTCGATTTTGGTGTAAGAGACTGTTCTTCAAACCGAAATTTTGGGAAGAGTCCGTTCAGAAAAAAAAATGGCGATTTGGCATTTCAAAAAGCACCTGCTTTGATATTTTGAATGCATCAGTCATTGCCAAAGTTTGGCCCCCTGACCCTTCGCAACCCCCATCAAGTTCAAAAGTCAAAATCAAAAAACAGCACCAGAAAAAGTGAAATAAAAACATCCCATTGTGAACGTGGGCAGCATGCACCAGCGGAAGCACAGAATGAGGTCCGTCTGAGAAGAAGGGTAGTTTCTTAAGAGACAGTAGCCAAACCTGAAGTTGGGATTTACAGCATCGTTTGCTTGCCTTTCATCACTATGGAAACTAGAAGTTAGGAAAGGAAGAGAGTCCATGCCTTGTTTGGCTCTCATGGAAAGGGATCGTGGTCGGCAATCGTTATTTTAGAAAGTTATGAGGAGCAAAACGCATCCTTGCCAATGGCTATTCAAATCCAAAGCTGTGGCTTTTGCTGTCCACATAACAAATAAATAGAGGGGAAAGAGCACCAATGAGGGATTTTCTGCACCAGGGTGGATCTATATGGCTTTTTCATTTCTCTCTCCCTCCCTATTTCACCCACTTTCCCTTCCTTTCATTCTCTGCATCCTCTTAACCAGATTTTCCCAATAAACGGCTGGAAGTGCTGCTGACAGAAGGAAAATAGAACCCCTTCCTTCTACATCGGTAATGTCTCACACAGCCTTTTCTCTATCCGGAAGACTTGCATTCGATTAAACACAATTTGCGAAAGACACAACCTCTTCTCTCCTTGACTTTTGGGACCAATTTGGAAACACACTGAAGGCCAGAGGGGTGCAGGGGATGGTTATTTGGGAAGTCAAGATTAGCAGGGACATTCAACACTTCTGGAGAGGGAGCCGCAGCCCCTCTCCATCTCTGTTGAAGGTTTGTTTTCTATTTATTTACTGGTTGCATTCCTTCCAAAGTGGGACCCAAGCAAAGGTCACCCTTTCCCCTATTTTCACACTGATGCGGCCTATTCATCCTGCTTGGAAACCATCACAACTTCAGGGTTTTGGAACAGTGACGGGGACGCTTTCACTCCTATCCAAACCCACTGAGCAGCACCTGAAGTCCGGAATGAGCAACAGAATGAAGCAAACACCACCTCTTTCCCTGTGGAGACCTACCGATCTGTAAGAAGACCTTTGCACCATGGGCTATGCCCCTGTTTCTCCCCAAAACGGAAGCACCTTGGGTTGAGAAAGACACCTTTCTGGACAAAGGTCCAAGGCGGGAAGCCCAGGGCAGGCCTTAAAGGAGCAAGGTCTGCTTTCCAATCCTTTCTGGAAGGATCCCTTGTTTGGACTAATTTCAAATACACCTTTGTATCGGAAACGGAATAAAAAGGATTTCTTCCTTGCGAAAGGACAGGATGGGATGATTTTCTGCTCCCCCTTTTTGCCATGATCACAGGTTACAAACACATGGAGGTGGATATAAATAATCAAATGACCGGAAGGGGGAGAAAAAAAGAACCGCAGTAGGTTTGGGTGATGCCTCTGCTTCTCGACCCAAAACGCTGCGGATCCGGGATTTTGCTCATTGGTTGGTTTGTTTCCAGACGGCGAGGGGAAAGCACCACAAAACCAGCACCAGGTTCCAGTGCTACTGACTGTGAGGTAAGATAGCCGCCTGCCACACTGCGTGATTTGCCATGGTCGTCTTCCTCCACCTCGTTGTCATATCCATCGGCTGTATGGCCCAGTCACCTTGGTGAAGGCGTAGGAGGCGGCGGTGATGGCGGAGTTCGTAGGGACGGTCAGGGCCTCCCGGGTGGGCACCACGCCCTTCCGCTCCTTCGGCTGGGATTCGGGGGCCGCCCCACCATTGTTGCCCCACTTGCGCTTCTTCCCAAAGGCTTTGCCCTCCTCCGCCCGTAGGCCCAGGCTGGCTGCCGCCGCTGCCGCCGCCTCAGCCTCCTCCTGCCGGGCCCTGGCCCTCTCCGCCAGCTGCTTGACCTTGGCCTCCCAGAGGGCCAGTCCGTGGTTGGGCTGGTTGAGGTTCTTGTGCTGGTAGAAGACCAGGGAGATGCGGGTCGGGTGGCAGCGGTTGGGCTTCTTGAGCGGCGTGGTGGCATGCAGCTCCCGCCGGGCGCACTCAATCAGGATGGAGCCATGCGCCGGCGCCACCGCCACCCCGCCAATGTTTTCATCCAGGAAGTTGTGCTCGCTGTCAGACCACTCCTCCTCCTCTTCCTTGAAGGACTTTTCCGGCGTCCCCTCATCAAGGCCGAAAGTGCCCCAGGGAGGGTCCAGCCCCACCCCCGCCTCCTCCTTCAGGGCCACAGAAGGCAAGGAGCTGAAGGGAGGCCAAGTCCGGCCATGCAGCCCCGGAGTTGGGGCCCGGCGGCCATCCGCCTTGACCGGGCCCCAGAGGTCCCCCAGGGTCCGGCCGCTGCCCTTGATGGAGCTCAAGTCCAGTTGCCCGAAGCCCCAGCGCTTCTCCTGGAGGTCCGAGCCAGGGCCCGCAAAGACTGAGGAAGAGGAGCCACTGCCATTGTCCCCTTTGCAAGGGCTCCATGGCTTCTCCTCCATGGGTTGCCCTTCTGTGGGGAACAGGCTCCATGGTTTCTCCCTCAAGTGGTTCTGCGGTGGCAGCCTGGAAGCTGAATGGGAGCCAAAGAGGCCGGGTTTGTTCTGCCCATTTGCCCCCAGCATGGAATCCCCGGACGGGAAGGCGCTCCAAGGGTTATCCGCATGACTAGTCCTCTCGCAAGGGGACTCGTTCCTGTGGGGTTTGTAAGGGCTCCAGGCCGGCGCCTCCATGGGGCCTCCGTTTTGGGACATTTCGGGGTTGAGGTTTTGGCAACTGATCTCTGCCGGCTGCTGGACAGCTTCTGGGTCCACGGGCTCTTGCTTGATTGTTCGGCTGTTGAAGCAGTGCGTGTTTTGTGCAAAGGGCAGGGCTTCCGAAGGGGCCGCCGAGGGGCACCTGGGGGATGTAGCCGGAGGGGTCTTGCTGGTTCCCCGGTTGGCCCGCTCATAGGTCCACTGGTGGTGACTCTTGCTGCGGACGGTGGGCTGGATGTCGTCCAAGGGGTCGGGGTTCTGGTAAACGCGAGTCAGGTTGTCCTGCAGTGCCTGGACATCCGGTTTCTTCTCGTAGCCACCACCACTGCTGTCAACCCAAGGCGAGCCCCTTCCGTCGCCGTAATTGAAGAGCTGGGAGTGGAAGGTGGGGCTGCTGGGGAATCCGTAATAGCCGAAGGACGGGAGGGGGAACTTGGAGTGCAACCCGTTGATGGAAGGCAGGTTAGGCTGTGCATAGTAGGAGTGGTAAGAATAGACACTGTTCATGCTGTACGGGTCGGAGGGCCGGCAGTTTCCCAGCACCGAGTAGCTCTCCACCACACCATTCCCGTTGTACTTGAATGTATTGTAATGGCCCCGAGGCTCAACTTTGATGGAAGGCTTCACCGGTGCCTGAGGGAGTCCACTCTTCAATGGAGCGCCTGGAAACAAGAAGCAAGAGGCAGTGATAAGTCTGCAGAAATGCTCTCTATGGCCCAGCAGAGCCTTGGATCTTAGACAGCGGATGGGACCAATGTACCCCACTATATTATTATTATTACTACCACTACTACTGTTGGGCTTATTAACTGGAACTCGCTCCCCAAGGTTATTAGGCAAGCCCCCACACTGGCAGTCTTTAGGAGGAGCTTGAAAGCATGGTTGTTCCAATGTGCCTTCCCTGAATAAAAGAATAATAATTCCCTGTTCTGACCTATTCTCTGCAAAATGTCCTCTGAAGCACTTTATTCTACTTGTTGAGGCAATCCACCCCACCTTACCCTCTAAAAACCCCTGCTGTTCACACCCAGTGTTTTAAATTTTTAATCTATTAGATTCAACCCTGCCCCCAGTTTTGGATCCTTGTATTCTTAAATGTGTTGTTTTATTGCTGATGTGTTATTTATAATGATTTAGTATTTTCATTTATTTTATTGCTGTGTTAATTTGAATTTGTATTGTCGGGCTTGACCTTATGTAAGCTGCCCAGTCCCCTTGGGGAGATGGTGGTCGAGTATAAATAAAGTATTATTATTATTATTATATTAACAAAAGACCTTCCTCATAAATGTACAGCAGAGTAACTTATTAGAAGCAGCATGACCCAGCACCAGTAGCCCAAAATGATAAAAAGTACAAAAACACACAGACCACTGTTATCTCTTCCATAGGTGGCTTTTCTTTGTAGTAAAATAATATGGTTGCAATATTTACAAGAACAAGGTTTCCATATACTTCCTTCTTTGCTTCCACGCTGGGCTTCTTTCTTATGCAGATAAACAGTTTCTCTCTCACAGAGTCTCTTCTCACACCTAACTAATACAAGAGCTTCACACAGGAGCTTTTTACAAACACCAAAGTTTCTCACACCAGGCCTACTCCCACTGAGGCCTTTCTCCCACTGAGGCCTTCTCACACTGAAGCGAACTAACACTGAGGTCTTTCATACTGAGGCCTACCTAACATACTGAGGCCCTTCTTCCACAGAGAACTCTCACAGACTGAGGGCTACTAAGCTACAGACACACCTGCTTATATTGAACTACAGCTTTAGCTGAGTCACTGCATCTATTTAACCCTTTCAGTGCTTGACTCACCTTTTTGTAATTTCAGATACCTAGTTAATTTTTAATATTTCTGACAATTACTACTACTGCTACTACTACTATTAGTATTATATGTACATGATACTTGTACTGTATTTTGAAATGGTCATGTCTGGTCAAATAAATACATCATTATGATGATGATGATGATGATGATGATGATGATGATGATGATGATTATATTTACATGACACTTTTCCTCCTTTTAGTCTGCAGAAATGGCTTCCATGGCACAGCAGAGCCTTGAATCTAGGGCAGCACTGAACAAAGTAGACTGGGACCACTGCACCCATTATTATTATTACTACTACTACTACTACTACTATTACTGCTACCACTATTGGTACAGTATATTATATGACACTTTTCCTCCTTTTACAAAAATAGTGTTTAGTCTGCAGAGCCTTAAATCTGGGAAGTTGGTGGGCAAAGTGGACTGGAACCAATGAACCCCACTATTATGTTGTTATTGTTGTTGTTGTTGCTGCTGCTGCTGCTGCTGTTGTTGTTAATAAGAATAATGTTATAGTGGGGTCAGTAATAATACTATCATCAACATCACCATCATAGGAGCCCCCGGTGGCGCAATAAGTTAAACCTTTGTGCCAGCAGGACTGAGGACAAAAAGGTCAGCAGTTTGAATCTGGGCAAGCGGTTGAGCTCCCTCTGTCAGCTCCAGCTCCCTATGCGGGGACATGAGAGAAGACTTCCAGAAGAATGGTAAAACAGCAAACATCCAGGAGTCCCCTGGGCAATGTCCTTGCAGACGGCCAATTCTCTCACACCAGAAGTGACTTGCAGTTTCTCAAATCGCTCCTGACACACAAAAAAATCATCATCATCATTTGGGTGAATCATAACCATGAAAGGGAAGCCCTTCCTCACCCAATTTCTTCCCACAGCTTTCTACACTTGAGAAAAGATTATTTACTCAGAGTGGCATTTGCCCAAAAGGACATCATCATCATCATCACTATTATATTTATATGTTATTTTCCTCCCTTTACAAAAGGAGTGTTTAGGCTGCAGAAATGGCCTCCATGGCCCAGCAGAACCTTGGATCTGGGACAGTGGTGGGCAAAGTGAGGACTGGGACTGATGGACCTCACTATGATGATGTTGTTGTTGTTGCTGCCAAGGCAAACCTATGGCGGACCCCGAGGTGGCCCTCTCTGGCTCATCCAAAGAAGCACTCACCTTCAGCAATGGCTGGGTCCTGGTCAAGGGCCGGGGCCTGGAGGGCTTCCTGCTTGGCCTTCTCGGGGGTCATGAGCTTCTCCTTCTGGAGGCGCTTCTTCTCGGCGGCCGCTTTCCGGGCCTCCAGCTGCCTCTGGCGGCAGGACTTGGCCGGTTCAGGGAGCTTCCGGACCTCACGTGGGAAGGCGGTCAGCACCTGGATGGCCCCGTTGCCCATCTTGGCCGCTTGTCGCTCCGCGCTTCCGAACTCATCCGTGGGGGACATCTTGTACAGAGGGAGGACATGGAGCTGCTCATCCTCCGGTACCTGCCCCGTGGTGCGATTATCCTCCTTGGTCAAGGTACACACCTGGAGAAGACGAAGAGGGAGGAGGAGAAGAATATGTTGCAGGACGTTTTCAGGAAATGATTTATCGTTTCCAAATCACGACCTCCCCAAACCACTGCACCCTGGATAGCAAGTGTTGTCAGGAATATTATATATTAACTAAGTAATTTTTTTTACAAAAGTGTGAGTCAAGCACTGAAAGAGTGGGCAGGCTGAAGCCTGTTAGAGTCAGTGGGCCAAAGCTAGTGTCGTCCTATTAATATTATTATTATTATTAACTTTATTTATACCCCGCTAACATCTCCCGAAGGACTCAGTGCGGCTTACAAAGGCCAAGGCCCTCAATAAAACAACAGCATAACAAATATATAAGCAGAGTGAATAGCAGAGTGAATAGGCCAAAACCTGTTAAGTGTCAGTGGGCCAAAGCTAGTGTCGTTCTGAGGAGAGGGAGTAGGCCGAAGCCTGTTAGAGTCAATGGGCCAAAGCTAGTGTCGTTCAGTGCAGAGGGGGTAGGCGGAAGCCTGATAACAGTGAGTGGGCCAAAGCTAGTGTCATCCCGAGGAGAGTGAGGAGGTCCAAGCCTGTTAAGTGTCAGTGGGCCAAAGCTAGTGTCGTTCTGAGGAGAGGGAGTAGGCCGAAGCCTGTTAGAGTCAATGGGCCAAAGCTAGTGTCGTTCAGTGCAGAGGGGGTAGGCTGAAGCCTGATAAGAGTGAGTGGGCCAAAGCTAGTGTCATCCTGAGGAGAGTGAGGAGGTCCAAGCCTGTTAAGTGTCAATGGGCCAAAGCTAGTGTCGTTCAGTGCAGAGGGGGTAGGCTGAAGCCTGATAACAGTGAGTGGGCCAAAGCTAGTGTCGTTCTGAGGAGAGTAGGCCAAAGACTATAAGAGTCAGTGAGCCAAACTAGTGTCGTTCTGAGGAAAGTGTGTAGGCCGAAGCCTGTTAGAGTCAGTGGGTCAAAGATAGTGTCATCCTGAGGAGAGAGAGTAGGCCAAAGCCTATTAGAGTCAGTGGACCAAAGATGGTCTCATTCTGAGAAGAGTGAGTAGGCCGAAGTCTATTAGAGTCAGGGCCAAAGATAGTGTTGTCCTGAGGAGAGTGAGTAGGCCGAAGCCTGTTAGAGTCAGTGTGCCAAAGCTAGTGTCATCCTGAGGAGAATGAGCAGGCCAAAGCCTGTTAGAGTCAGTGGGCCAAAGCTAGTGTCGTCCTGAGGAGAGTGAGTAGGCCGAAGCCTGTTAGAGTTAGTGGGCCAAAGCTAGTGCTGAGGAGAGTGAGTAGGCCGAAGCCTGTTAGAGTTAGTGGGCCAAAGCTAGTGCTGAGGAGAGTGAGTAGGCCGAAGCCTGTTAGAGTCAGTGGGCCAAAGCTAGTGTCGTCCTGAGGAGAATGAGCAGGCCGAAGCCTGTTAGAGTTAGTGGGCCAAAGCTAGTCCTGAGGAGAATGAGCAGGCCGAAGCCTGTTAGAGTTAGTGGGCCAAAGCTAGTGCTGAGGAGAGTGAGTAGGCCGAAGCCTGTTAGAGTTAGTGGGCCAAAGCTACTGCTGAGGAGAGTGAGTAGGCCGAAGCCTGTTAGATTCAGTGGGCCAAAGCTAGTGTCGTCCTGAGGAGAATGAGCAGGCCGAAGCCTGTTAGAGTCAGTGAGCCAAAGCTAGTGCTGAGGAGAGTGAGTAAGCTGAAGCCTGTTATTGTTAGTGGGCCAAAGCTAGTCCTGAGGAGAGTGAGTAGGCCGAAGCCTGTTAGAGTTAGTGGGCCAAAGCTAGTGTCGTCCTGAGGAGAATGAGCAGGCCGAAGCCTGTTAAAGTTAGTGGGCCAAAGCTAGTGTCGTCTTGAGGAGAGTGAGTAGGCCAAAGCCTGTTAGAGTCAGTGGGCCAAAGCTAGTGTCGTCCTGAGGAGAGTGAGTAAGCCGAAGCCTGTTAGAGTTAGTGGGCCAAAGCTAGTGTCGTCCTGAGGAGAATGAGCAGGCCGAAGCCTGATAAGAGTCAGTGGGCTAAAGCTAGTGTCGTCCTGCGGAGAGGTAAATTTCAGTATGAGAGAAGCCTTGTATGAGAAACCTCCAGTGTTAAGAATGCTGTGTGTAAAGCTACTATGTATTTGTTTATTTGTGTTATGGAAACGTTGTTGTAAATCAGTAGTTCCCAGAAGAAAGAGGAGAATACAGGAATGTCACAAGGGGGCCTAGCAAGTGAACGTGGCACCAACACAATACCACTGGGATGCCTCTCTCTGAGAAATGATCTCTATACTCAGCTCCTGCCTGACACATTCAGCTTCTTGGCAGTTAATATCCAAAGTAAGGGTTTATCAACAGCTGGCCCTCTGCACTTGTCGGTTTTACTTCTGCAGATGGGATGAACATCTTTCCAGGAATCTCTGCACCCTCCAGCACAACACTGGTGCCGACGTCTGTCAAAGGGTCACACTGGAGGACCGAGAGAGTCCTAGAAAGCAGTGTTGTTTTGAATGTGTGCTCTTTCCTCCATTCCTTGCAAAGCGAGGTCTATTGTGTAGCCAATGGGAGGAAATGGGATCAAACTGCTGGGCAAGTGTGCAGTGTGGACCCCTCCCCATGCTGGGTCTTTCCAGCGCAAGACAGAGGGAGGAAGCATGGCCTTACCACAGTGCAGCCGTTATAGAGGTTGTGCTGGTCCTTGTGGGCATGCGCACAGAAGTCCATGCAAGCTGTGACCCCCGAAAAGGGCCTCCCCTCCTTGAGGCCCAGGCGACAGTCGATGGCCACGTCTTCATTGGTCACCTGCGGAAGGAGGAGAATTGGATTTTGGAAAAATTGGAAACAAGGATTGGAGATAAAGCTTCAGGGGAGACCCCTTTTTCCCCTGATAATAACACTTCCAGGAGTGAATTTCGAACTGCTGGGTTGGCAGAAGCTGGGGCTAAAAGCGGGAGCTTACCCCGCTCCCCGGATTCGAACAACCAACTTTTCAGTCAGCAAGTTCAGCAGCTCAGTTGTTTAACCTGCTGCACCACCAGGGCCACCCTATCATCATCACTATTATTATTATTATTATTATTATTTTAATCAGATGGCCATCTGTAATGAGGGCTCGAATGGTGCTTTCCTGCCTGACCAAATATGAGAAGCGAATGGATAGACCTTGGGGTCCCTCCCAACTCTGGGCTTCTATGGTACTTAATTTTGCTAGTATCATCATCATCATCATCATTATTGTCATCATTATTTTAAGAAGAGGTGGGATGGCCATCTGTCGGGAGGGCTTGGATGGTGTCTTACTGCCTGGCACAATCAGATGGGACTGGATGGCGCCCCCGCCAACTCTGAGATTCTATGGTTCTAATTACTATTACTATTATTATTATTATCATCATCATCATTATTTTCATCACTATTTTAAGCAGAGGCAGGATGGCCATCTGTCTGGAGGGCTTGGATGCTGCCTTGCTGCTTGGAAGGATCAGGTGGGACTGGATGGCCCTTGGGAACCCTCCCTCCCATCTCTGGGATGCAACGGCTCCTGACCTGGTTCTGGTAGGCCTGGGGGGCCAGGCGTTGGTAGAGAGGGGCCACTTCGGTCGCCAGGTCCTGGAAGTTCTTCCGAAGCACGTCTTCCTGGAGTGAAAGAGAAAGAGATGGTCAAAGGTCTTGCTCCGGGGCCAGATGACTTCCAAAGGGCCACCCACCCAAGGGGTGAGGTCAATCCCGTCACCTTGGGATGGGGACCTGTGGGGGGCTCACCTCATTGGGGTTATAGCCCTGCAGCCGGAACTTCCTGGGCATTTTGCTCCGGGCGTATTTGCAGCCGTTGAAGTACATGCTCCAGGAACAGCCGAAGGAGAAGGAGGCACCGCAGGAGTTGGGGTCCTTGCCCTGGCAGGCACATGTCCGGCTGCAAAAGAGTTGAGTTGGCATCATAGGAGAAGACAGGGGCAAGTAGGCAGAGTATGTATGGGGTGGAAGCCAACCCCCCCCCCCCCACCCCCCACCCCCCGAGACAATTCTAAGGTATGTTTTCAACCACGAAGCTGCGTCAGAGGACTTAAACCAGGCATGGGCAAACTTCCGCCCTCCGGGTGCTTTATACTTCAACTCCCACAACTCCTAACAGCCGGCAGGCTATGATGGTGCTTTGATGATGCTTTTCCTCCTGAAAGAAGGAGGTTGGACTAGATGGCCCTTGGGGGGCTGGTCCAACTCTAGGATTCTATGATTCAGATGTTGGATGGCCATGTCTTGTAAGTGCTTTGATAGTGCTTTTCCTGCCTGGGAGAAGAGGGTTGAACTGGATGGCCCTTGGGATTTTTTTTCAAACTCTAGGATTCTATGATTCAGAGGTTGGATGGCCATCTGTTGGGAATATTTTGATGGTTCTTTTCCTGCCTGCCAGACAGAAGGGGGCTGGACTAGATGGCCTTTGGGGGGCCCTTGAAGGTCTAGGATTCCATGATTGAAAGGTTGGATTGAAAGATCAATCAGGAATGCTTTGATGGTGCTTTTCCCACCTGCCACAAGAAGACTGGACTGGATGGCCCTTGGGGGACTGGATGGCCCTCCCAACTCTAGGATTCTATGATTTAGAGCAGGGGTCCACTAACTTTTTAAACAGAGGGCCAGGTCACAGTCCCTCAAACTGTTGGAGGGCCGGATTATAATTTGAAAAAAAAAACAGGAATGAATTCGTATGCACACTGCACATATCTTATTGGTAGTGCAAAAATCATTTTAAAACAATACAATAATTAAAATGAAGAACAATTTTAACAGGTATAAACTTATTATTATTTCAATGAGAAGTGTGGGCCTCCTTTTGGCTGATAAGATAGGATTGTTGTTGTTGTTGTTGTTGTGTGATTTCAAGTCGTTTCAGACTTAGGTTGACCCTGAGCGAAGGCTGGGTAAATGACCTTGGAGGGCCGTATCCGGCCCCCGGGCCTTAGTTTGAGGACCCCTGATTTAGAGGTTGGATGGCCAACTGTTGGGAGTGCTTTGATGGTGCTTTTCCTGCCTGGAAGAAGGAGGTTAGAATAGATGGCCCTTGCGGGTTCCTTCCAACCTAGGATTCTATTATTCAGAAGTTGGATAGCCATCTGTCGGGGGTGCTTTGATGGTCCCTTTCAAGCCTGACAGAAGGTGAATGGTCTGGATGGCCATTGGGGGTCCCTTCCAACTCTAGGATTGTATGATTCAGAGGTTGGGGGAGCTTTGTGGCCCTTGGCGGTCCCTTCCAACTGCAGCCCAGTCACGGAAGGTTCCCCGCAATGCCTGTCACTCACTCGTCGTTGAGACCGCAGCGCCGCGTGGTGGGGTTCCCGTATTTGGTGAGGATGTCGCTCAGCTCCTGGTAGAGCGTGTCACCCAGGGTGCGGGGGATGCCCTCCCAGGCCAGGATCAGGATGATGATGACGGCGTTCTGGCAGTGGTGGCCGGCCCGGTGCCGCACCAGGCAGAGCAGCTTCTCGTCCACGCTGTGCCTCCGGATGACCTTCAACGCAAGAGTGAGCTGCATTCATGCCACATGGAAATTGGCCCCCGAAAGGGCACAACAGCACCCAGAAACGGCTCTCGTGCAGACAAGGAGACGCAACTGCACCTTTTAACACAATTTATTTATATAATAATTTTCCCAGCAATATACCATATTTGTGTAATTAATAAATAATAATAATAATACTGTATATACTCAAGTACAAGCCGATCCGAATATAAGCCGAGGTACCAAATTTTACCACAAAGAACTGGGAAACCGTACTGACTCGAGTACAAGACGAGGGTGGGAAATGCAGCCACTACTGGTCAATTTCCAAATAAGAATCAATACCAATAAAATCACATTAATCGAGGCATCAGTAGGTTCAATGTTTTTGAATATTTACATAAAGCTATAATTTAAGATGACTGTCCAATTCTGATTCAACCACTATTCTAACCTTCTTCAATGAAAATGTGCATACGTATCTTTCCAATAATAATAGAGTAATATAATAAATGTAATAATAATAGAGTAAAATAATGTAAAAGTCATAATAACAATAATAGATTAAAATAATAAATGTAATAAAAATAATAATAATATAATATAAATGTAACAATAACAATACAAATTGAGTTTAAGTAATAATAATAGAATAAAATAATGCAAATGTAATAAAATGTAATAAAAATAATAAGAATAAAATAATATAAATGTAACAATAACAATAAAAATTAAGTTTAATAATGAATGTAATAATAATAGAATAAAATAATGTAAATGTAATAATAAAAATTAATAAATGTAATAAAATAATAATAATAAATAGAGTAAAAGAATAAATGTAATAAAAATAATAACTGAGTAAAAGAATAAATGTAATAAAATAATCATAATAATAAATAATAAAAGTAATATTAATAAATAGAGCAAAATAATAAATGTAACAATAATAATAATAGAGTAAAATAATAAACAACCTTGACTCAAGTATAAGCTGAAGGGGCTTTTTCAGCCCCAAAAAAGGGCTGAAAAACCCATATACTCGAGTATATATGGTACTTTATTTTTAACCCACCCTCTCTCTGTAAGGGAACTCAGGGCGGCTTCCAAAGGAAAAAATGACAAATCTTCAATGCTATTACAAAACGTAATAGACAATTAACAGACAATTAAAAGAAATCAGTAAAAAAAAATCATATAAAACAAAATTGTGCAGATTAAAATACATATCAAAATATATGTAATATTTAGAATTATTTGTTTTCAGCCTATTCACTTGAATATAATGCTCACCTTTTGGGGCCTAAATTCAGGTGCACATTAGATTCACGTCATACGGTGATCATCTTAGTGCTGAGCTCACGCCAAAGGAGAAACTGCTTCTGGAGCTCCCCTTTGCGGAATGTCCTCTCTCATTTAACTGCATTGAGTCAATGCTATGCATTGCTGGGATTTGTAGTTTGCTGAGGCATCAGCCTCCTTTGGCAGTGAAGGCTCAAGACTTTGTAAAACTACATCCGCTGTGATTCTATTGCATTGAACCAAGGTAAACTGGAATGGGTTCATTCTGCAGCAGAGCTGTACCCAAGGGCAAGGGTCAGAGGGGGTCACTCACCCACTTTGCTATGGGGCAACCGCGGGAGCTCTTCCCCTCCTTCCCCGTGTAGATCACCTTCTCAATGCGGATGGCATCCCCCTTCTCGCCGTACCTGGGGGCAACAAAGAAAACCAATGGGTTAATCAGCACAAGGATAACAAACTGCAATGCCATAAGTGAGGAATGCTAGGATGTGCAGGCCAGCCATCCCTGGAAGGTGGCAACGTTCTGCCCTCCCCTTGCTTTACGTGTCCTAGATTATTGTCAAATTGGTTTGTTCCCCATTTCAACGTTTAATTCTTTCATTATAAGTTTATTGTTATTATTGTGTATTATTTTGTATCATTACAGATGTTATTTGTTTACTTTTGTAAGGCGTTGAATGTTTGGGTTGCTGTAGGTTTTCCGGGCTATATGGCCATGTTCTAGAGGCATTTTCTCCTGACGTTTCGCCTGCATCTATGGCAAGCATCCTCAGAGGTAGTGAGGTCTGTTAGAAGTAGGAAAATGGGTTTATATATCTGTGGAAAGATCAGGGTGGGACAAAGGACTTTTGTCTGCTGGTGCTAGGTGTGAATGTTTCAACATACAATTGTCCTCCTTCAGGGGTCCCTTTCAAATCTATACTATATGTGTGTGTGTGTGAATCATATCTATCTATATCTATGGCTGGATGGCTCTTTGTAAGGAGGGCTTTGATTACGTTTCTTGCCTCGGTGAAGGGAGTTGGACTGGATGGCCTTAAGTATTTTCTGTTGGTCATGGAGGTTCTATGTGGGAAGGCTGCCCCAATTCTGTCGTTGATGAGGTTCAGAATGCTCTTTGATTGTAGGTGTACTATAAATCCCAGCAACTACATCTCCCAAATGTCAAGGTCTATTTCCCCCAAACTCCATCTGTGTTCATATTTGGGCATATGGAGTATTCTTGCCAAGTTTGGTCCAGATCCTTCATTGAGTCCACAGTGCTCTCTGGATGTAGGTGAACTACAACTCCCAAACTCAAGGTCAATGCCCACCAAACCCTTCTAGTATTTTCTGTTGGTCATGGGAGTCCTGTGTGCCACATTTAGTTCAATTCTATCATTGGTGGATTTCAGAATGCCATTTGATTGTAGGTTAACTATAAGTCCCAGCAACTACAACTCCCAAATGACAAAATCGATTTTTTTGAATGATGGTCGCTCCTTGGGTGTCTTGTGGGTGTCTTGTGGCCAAATTTGGCGGCAATTTGTCCATTGGTTTTGGGGTTATGTTAATCCCACAAAAGAACATTCCATTTTTATTTATATAGATAATTATAATAATAATATCAGATTCCTCCCACTTCCTGTTGTCTCAGCCCTGTTCTTCACTAAGAGTCATATGTAAGTCAGATGTTTGTAACTCTGGACCTGCCTATCATGGTATTTTATTGAGAAACCATTCAAACATCAGAGTCGAAAAGCCTTTCCTTGCCAATAGCTTTGCACTTCCCAGGAAGGGGCTTCCCTGCAGGCTCAAAGGACAGCCCCTTTGTGGCCATGAAGGTGGAGGGTCTAGGGTTGTGATGGTGAATCTATGACATGCGTGTCAGCACTGACACACGTGGTTATCTTTGATGACACGCGGCCACATACAGAGAAGTACACCTTATAAGAGCCAATCTAATTCCATCCTTAAATTTGTAAAATGGTCTACAAATTTAACATCTGCATGTTTGAGCATTGTTCACTCCATAACTCAGCATGGAATATACATTTTTCTTATTTAAACTATAAATATTGCAAAATTACATCTATTTTTTCTCAAAGTGGACACCCCACCCAAGTTATGGTCAGGTTTTTGGCAAATTTTGACACACCAAGCTCAAAAGGTTGCCCATCACTGGTCTAGGGCCTGGTTCTTACAGGGGAAAGGGGTCTGCCATGCAGCCTGAGCCTCAAAGCCATACCATGATGTTCCTTCCCCCTCCTTCGTCATGATCACATAGCTCCTGTCTACTGCCAGGCTGGTGACTCAATGGCTCTGTTTGCCTTCATGTGGATGATGAGTCAGACGCCGGTGAGTCAACGGCAGAAGAGGAGGAGGAGGAGGAGGAAGCCATGGCCGGCTGGAACGTGTGCCACTCGCCCACCCTCCCATGTACCAACAGCAGTGAGAACAAACGCCCCCTCTCTCTTAGGCTTCCTTTCCGCTGCCCAAAGACCATAACTCAATGGAGCCATGGGTTCAAATTGCAGAGAAGGAGATACCCCCCCGAATATTAGGAAGGACATAGAATAGCGTTATTTGTCATGGTGCTATTGCACGACGAAATTGCATACCTTCCTCAGCACACGTCACAAAAACAATACACCCATCCCGCCACACTCCCACCACCACCGCACAGCCCCCAATGCCACATCAGGGTGAAGCCATGGAGTTCAACATAGCCACAGATATAGGATAAAAGCTATACTTCAGTCTGTATTGTCGAAGGCTTTCATGGCTGGAATCACTCAGTTCTTGTGGGTTTTTTCGGGCTATATGGCCATGTTCTAGAGGCATTTCTCCTGGCATTTTGCCTGCATCTATGGCAAGCATCCTCAGAGGTGAGGTCTGTTGGGACTGGGAAAAAAGGGGTTTATATATCTGTGGAATGACCAGGGTGAGACAAAGGACTTTTGTCAGTTGGGCTAGGTGTGAATGTTTCAACTGACCACCTTGATTAGCATACAATGGGCTGACTGTGCCTGGAGCAAACTCTTCTTGAAAGGTGATTAGATGTCCCTGCCTGTTTTTCTCTCTGCTGTTTTTGCTGTTGCAATTTTAGATTTTTTTTTAATACTGGTAGCCAGATTTTGTTCATTTTCATGGTTTCTTCCTTTCTGTTGAAATTGTCCACATGTTTGTGGATTTCAATGGCTTCTCTGTGTAGTCTGACATGGTGGTTGTGAGAGTGGTCCAGCATTTTTGTGTTCTCAAATAAAATGCTGTGTCCAGGTTGGTTCATCAGGTGCTCTGCTATGGCTGATTTCTCTGGTTGGAGTAGTCTGCAGTGCCTTTCATGTTCCTGGATTCTTGTTTGGGCGCTGCGTTTGGTGGTCCCTATGTAGACTTGTCCACAGCTGCATGGTATACGGTAGACTCCAACAAATGCTACGTTCAGCAAAGGACAAGAGGGATCCTCTCACCTCTGCAGGAGTCTACCGTATACCGTATACCATCAGCCATAGCAGAGCACCTGATGAACCAACCTGGACACAGCATTTTATTTGAGAGCCTCTGTGTGAGGTAGGCCTTAGTCTGAGAGAAGGCCTCACAGTGTGAGGTAGGCTTTAGTCTGCGAGAGAAGCTTCTTGTGTGAGGTAGGCCTTAGTTTGTGAGAAGGCCTCACAGTGTGAGGTAGACTTTAGACCAGGGGTCCTCAAACTTTTTAAACAGAGGGCCAGGTCAGAGTCCCTCAAACTGTTGGAGGGCCGGATTATAATTTTAAAGAACATGAATGAATTCCTGTGCACAATGCACATATCTTATTTGTAGTGCAAAAACATTTTAAATCAATACAATAATTAAAATGAAGAACAATTTTAACAAATATAAACTTATTATTATTTCAGTGGGAAGTGTGGGCCTGTTTTTGGCTGATGAGATAGGATTGTTGTAGTAGTAGTTGTTGTTTTCAAGTCGTTTCAGGATTGTTGTTGTTGTGCTTTCAAGTGGTTTCAGACTTAGGTGAGGGCCGTGTAAATGACCTTGGAGGGCCATATCCGGGCCCCGGGCCATAGTTTGAGGACCCCTGCCTTAGACTGTGAGAGAAGCTTCTTGTGTGAGGTAGGCCTTAGTCTGTGAGGAGGCCTCACAGTGTGAGGTAGACCTTAGACTGTGAGAGAAGCCTCTGTGTGAGGTAGGTTTTAGTCTGTGGGAAGGCCTCACGGTGTGAAGTAGACCTTAGTCTGTGAGAGAAGCTTCTGTGTGAGGTAGGCCTTAGTCTATGAGAGAAGTCCTCACAGTGTGTTAGGAATTGTGGGAGTTTAAGTTCAAAAGAATTGGAGGGCCAACGTTTGCCCATGCCTGTTGTAGAGCGAAGGCAGCTTGACCCCGCTTGAACTGAATTGGCTCCATGCTATAGAACCACAGGAGCTGTATGTTTGCAAGCTCTTGAGCCCTTTCTGCTGAAAGGGTGCAAACCACAACTCCCAGGGTCATAACCGTTCATGTGGGGTCAAGCTGCATTAATCCTGCAATATACATGCATCCCCTGACCTAACAACTACAGGGCCAGTTCCGCCATATTTGTAGGAATCCCTTGCCTCTACCCACCTTGTGTTTCTCCATTTATGGCATGACTTACCGCTCTTCCATGAGTTCCCTGATGGACGCCACGGTCGGTCCGGATCCCAAGTGCGTGTAATAGGGCCCCTCGTCCTTCTCCACAATTTGCTCTGTTTGGGTGGAAGAGAGAGGAGGAACAAAATACATTTAATGTAGGGCGCTTTGAGTCTCCTCGTGGAGAGAAAAGCAGCAAATGTGTGGGCCTTCATTATGAGACGCGGTGCATCCCGAAGCTTCTCCGCCCCAAAAATGAGCCCAAACGAGACATTTATTCTCTTTTCTCCACTTTGCTAATGGGATCTGCTCCTTGCTTTGGGCTTTCTCTGTCAGGGATGCAAAGGCAGCTGCTCTTTTCTTCTGGGCACTGGCTCCATCCAGGCTCCGGTGCCAGGTCATTTGAATGAGAAAAGGACCCACAAAGCACAGAAATCCTCCAACCGGCCACCTTAAATCTTGGCCGGTTGCAAAAAGAAAAGACCTGGCACACGTTACTGCTGGACAGATGGTGCCCAGCGAAGGAGGAGAAGGATCAAGAAGTCGACGGGCTCCTCAGAACAACATTTGTAAACGAACCCCAAAAGGCATCTGCTGCCCTGGATCATTGGGCATTCCTGCAGAGAGTATGTGCAGCCAGGAAAAAGGACAAACACCTCTGCCTTTAGGGTTGGTCACTTCCAAGGATGGGTTGGAGTATTAAAATATACTAATCCAGTGTTTCTCAACCTTCCTAATGCCTTGACCCCTTAACACAGTTCCTCACGTTGTGGGGACCCCCAACCATAAAATAATTTTCGTTGCTACTTCAAAACTGTAATTTGAATCTGATATGCAGGATGTGTTTTCATTCACTGGACCACATTTGGAAAATACCCAATATGCCCAAATCTGAATACTGGTGGGGTTGGAGGGGAATTGATTTTGTCATTTGGGAGTTGTCGTTGCTGGGATGTATAGTTCACCTACAATCAAAGAGCATTCTGAACTCCACCAATAATGGAACTGAACCAAATAATAATAATAATAAACTTTATTTGTACCCCACTACCATCTCCCCAAGGGACTCAGTGCGCCTTACATGAGGCCAAGCCCAAAGTACATCAAACAAACATTAATAAACACAACATCAATAAAACAATCAATTAAAATACAAACTTGGCACATAGAACTCCCATAAGCACCAGAAAATACTGGAAGGGTTGGGTGGGCTTTGACCTTGAGTTTGGGAGTTGTAGTTCACCTACATTAAAAGAGCACCGTGGACTCAAACAATGATGGATCTGGACCCAAGTTGGCACCAATCCTCAGTGTGCCCAAATGTGAACACTGGTGGAGTTTGGGGAAAATAGATCTATTTCCCCCAAACTCCACCGGCTCTTTTGGTATTTTGGGGTCCTGGGAGTTGTAGTTTAGCCACCCCGAGTCCCCAAGGGGAGATGGGATGGGATACAAATAAAGTTGACCTAACTTGACATGACTCTTTGGGAAGAGATGTCCAAAGGTCTTAGAATCATAGAATCATAGAGTTGGAAGAGACCTCATGGGCCATCCAGTCCAACCCCCTGTGAAGAAGCAGGAATATTGCATTCAAAGCACCCCTGACAGACGGAAAACTACAACTCCCATGGCTTTGTTGCATTGATGGATGTGGACCAAACTTGGCACGAATCCTCAATATGTCCAAATGTGAACACTGGTGGAGTTTGGGGAAAACAGAGCTTGACATTTGGAAGTTGTAGTTTCTGGGATTTATGGTTCACCTACAACAACAACAACAACAACAACAACAACAATCAAAGAGCACTCTCAACCCCAGCAATGATAGGATTGGGCCAAACTTCCCACACAGAACCCCCATGACCAACAGAAAATACTGTATTGTCAAAGGCTTTCATGGCCGGAATCACTACAAGGTTTTTTTTGGGCTATATGGCCATGTTCTAGAGGCATTCTCTCCTGATGTTTCACCTGCATCTATGGCAAGCATCCTCAGAGGTAGTGAGGTCTGTTGGAACTAGGAAAAAGGGTTTATATATCTGTGGAATGACCAGGGTGGGACAAAGGACTCTTGTCTGTTGGAGCTAGGTGTGAATGTTTCAACTGACCACCTTGATTAGCATTTGATGGCCTGGCAGTGCCTGGGGCAATCTTTTGTTGAGAGGTGATTAGATGTCCTTGTTTGTTTCCTCTCTGTTGTTTTGCTGTTGTAATTTTTGAGTTTTTTAATACTGATAGCCAGATTTTGTTCATTTTCATGGTTTCCTCCTTTCTGTTGAAATTGTCCACATGCTTGTGGATTTCAATGGCTTCTCTGTGTAGCCTGACATGGTGGTTGTGACAACCACCATGTCAGACTACACAATTTCAACAGAAAGGAGGAAAGGGTAATGGATGGAATGACCCAGCAAAAGCTGCAGTTCAATATAAGCGGGTGTATCTGTAGCTTAGTATTCCTCAATATTAGTTACCCTCGGAGAGGCCTTAGCGTGAGAGGCCTCAATATGAGAAGGCTCCAATGTCAATGAGAGAAAGGCCTCAGTCTGAGGGAGGCCTCAGACTGAGGTAAACCTCAGTGAGAGAGGCCTTAGTGTGTTAGTAGGCCTCAGTGTGAGAGAAGCTTCAGGGAGAGAAGCTCCAGTGCAAAGGCTACTGTGTGAAGTTCCTATACTTACACATGCTTGTGGATTTCAATGGCTTCTCTGTGTAGTCTGACATGGTGGTTGTGACAACCACCATGTCAGACTACACAATTTCAACAGAAAGGAGGAAACCATGAAAATGAACAAAATCTGGCTACCAGTATTAAAAAACTAAAATTACAACAGCAAAACAGCAGAGAGGAAACAAACAAGGACATCTAATCACCTCTCAACAAAAGATTGCTCCAGGCACTGCCAGGCATTCAAATGCTAATCAAGGTGGTCAGTTGAAACATTCACACCTAGCTCCAGCAGACAAGAGTCCTTTGTCCCACCCTGGTCATTCCACAGATATATAAACCCCTTTTTCCTAGTTCCAACAGACCTCACTACCTCTGAGGATGCTTGCCATAGATGCAGGCAAAACGTCAGGAGAGCATGCCTCTAGAACATGGCCATATAGCCCGAAAACACCTACAACAACCCAGAAAATACTGTGTTTCCTAATGATCTTTGGCGACCCTTCTGATACCCCCTCACGACGTCAGCAGGGGTGCCAACCCTCAGGTTGAGAAACACTGTACTAACCTACTCTGAAGATAAAATGCTGGATTACTTTAAGTATTGCAAGTGCCGAATCACAATTACGGTGATTGGGCATGAGGCAAATGAGACCCTGAAGTTAGGTTTGCATCAGGTGTATGAGACCATGAATGCATAAATGGAACATTGCATCATGCAAGTGTATACAAGAACACCAACAGAATAAGTGATGTGATGCTGCATGGTGAATTGGAGGATTCCGGAGAGAGCTGTGAATACTGTAAAGAGCTGCAACAAAAGATATAACCTTCTTGTAGAAAGAGGCTCCTGCTTACTATAAGTATTGCTCATACTACAGACCATGCATGGGCAAACTTGGGCCCTCCGGATGTTTGGACTTCAACTCCCACAATTCCTAACAGCCGGAGGGCTCAAGTTTACTCATACCTGCTAAAAACAGTACTTTAATATTGCTTGGAGGTTTGAACTGAGAAACTCTGCTTCAGGTTGAAGAAACACCTGACTGGATGCACCTACACTGCACTTTTAATCACTTTTTTTCCTTAGGTTGTTCACTGTATTATATGTTTCTACTAGCCATCCCCTGCCACGCGTTGCTGTGGCCCACTCTGGTGGCCATGGGGTTTCTGTGTGGGAGATTTGGCCCAATTCTATCTTTGGTGAGGTTCAGAATGCTCTGTGATTGTAGGTGAACTATAAATCCCAGCAAATACAACTCCCAAATGTCAAGATTCTATTTTCCCCAATCTCCACCAGTGTTCACATTTGGGCATATTGAGTATTTGTGTAGAGTTTGGTCCAGATCCATCATTATCTGAGTCCACAATGATCTCTGGATGTAGGTGAACTAAAACTCCAAAACCAAAAGACACTGCCCACTAAACCCTTCCAGTATTTTCTGTTGGTCATGGGAGAACTGTGTGCCAAGTTTGGTTCAATTCCATCGTTGGTGGGGTTCAGAATGCTCTTTGATTTTAGGTGAACTATAAATCCCAGCAACTACAACTCCCAAATGACAAAATCATTATTTTTTTTAGTGAAGGACATACATTGGGTGGTTAGGTGTCTTGTGTGCAAATATGGCGTCAATTCATCCAGTGGTTTTTGAGTTCTGTTAATCCCACAAACGAACATTACATTTGTATTTATATAGATGTAATTATTATGTTGTTGCTTTTGTTTTATTTTGTTGTAATTTGTAGTTCGGGCTTGGCCTCATGTAAGCCGCCCCGAGTCTCCGTTGGGGGAGATGGTGGCAGGGTAATAAATAAAGACTATTATTATTATTATTATTATTATTATTATTATTATTAGGGCCGAGGAGTTGTAATTCAGCAAGGTCTTCAGCCTCCTCTGCTGAAGAGTGTCAGGCTACAACTCCTAGCACTCTATAGCACTGAGCCATGGCAGTCAAAGTGATGTCAAACTGGATCAATCATACAGTGCAGATGCACCCAAACACATTCTTACTCATCCCAAACGGTTTAGGACTCCACCGGTTGCTACACCCACCTTTCCTCGCCCTTCCCAGCCTTTTTTTGTATTCCAGGCACATCTTGGTGGCCTGGAGCCACGAGTAGGTGGGAACCTTCCGGGAAGCTGACAGAAATCAATACGGGATAGGATTGGCGGCAGCAGCAACAACGGGTTTTATTATGAGCACAACGCTTGCTGTCTCCTCCATTCCACACATTGGAAGACTCAGGAAAGTGAAGACTAATGGACATGGAGGGTACCCCCAAAGACCATCCAGTCCTACTCCCTTCGGCCATAAAGGAAGACACCATCCAAGCCTACCCAACAGAGGGCCATCCAGCCTCATAGCAAAGATCTTTAGAGACATCCACCAATGCAGTTCATTCCACTCTCTTAGCCACAGGAACAGGCTCTTTCAAAAATTAATTGGAATCTCTTTCCTTGGGATTTGAGTCTGAACCCAAATTTAGGGGAGGGATGCAATATTGCTTCCAAAACTATGACTCTCTCTCTCTCTACCTTCCTCTCTCCCTCTCCCTCTCTCTCTCTCTCTCTCCCTATATATATATATATATGAATCATATTTATGGCTGGATGGCCCTCTATTGGTACGGCTTTGGTTGTGTCTTCCTGCCCTGCTGAAGGGAATTGGACTGGATGCCCTTTGATACTATGATACTGTATCTATCTCTCCTATATATTGTATATATACCATATATCAATATCTGATTCATATCTATCTATATCTCTGGCTGGATGGCCCTCTCTTGGTACGGCTTTGGTTGTGTCTTCCTGCCATGCTGAAGGGAATTGGACTGGATGCCCTTTGATACTATGATACTATATCGATCTCTCCTATATATTGTATATATACCATATATCAATATCTGATTCATATCTATCTATATCTCTGGCTGGGTGGCCCTCTTTTGGGAGGGCTTTGGTTGTGTCTTCCTGCCATGCTGAAGGGAACTGGACTGGATGGCCTTTGATACTATAATACTATATCTATCTCTCCTATATATTGTGAATATATGGTATATCAATATATATATATATCTGAATCATATCTATCTATATCTATGGCTGGATGGCCCTCTGTCAGGAGGGGTTTAATTGTCCCTTCCTGCCCTGCTGAAGGGAGTTGGGACTAGATGGCTATTGATACTATATGATATTTATTACATATATCGTATATATCTCTCGATTATATCTATGGCCGGATGGCCCTCTTTCAAGAGGGCTTTGATTGTGTCCTGTCTGGCAGGAGGGGATTGGACTGGATGGCCTTTATGGGTCCCTTCTAAATCAATGATACCATATCTATTATATATACATATATATTTGAATCATATCTATCTATATCTATGGCTGGATGGCCATCTATGAAGAAGGCTTTGTTTATGTCCTGTCTGGCAGGAGGGTTTGACTAGATGGCCTTTCAAATCTATGATACTATATCTCTCATATAAATATATATGTGTGAATCATATCTGTCTATCTATCTATCTATCTATCTATCTATCTATCTATCTATCTATATCTATGGCTGGATGGCTCTTTGTCAGGAAGGCTTTGATTATGTCTTCCTGCCCTGCTGAAGTGAGTTGGACTAGATGGTCTTTAGGGATCTCTTCCATATCTATGATATTTCATACACACACACACACACATAAATATATATATGAGAGTCATCTCTATTGATTATATCTATGGCTGGATGGCCCTCTGTCAGGAGGGCTTTGATTGTGTCCGGCTTGGCAGGAGAGAGTTGGACTGGATGGCCTTTATGGAGCCCTTCTAAATCTATGATACCATATCTATTATATATACATGTATGTCTGAATCGTTACCTATATCTATGGCTGGATGGTCCTCTATCAGGAGGGCTTTGATTGTGTCCTCCTGCCCTGCTGAAGGGAGTTGGATGTGGTGGCCTTTGATACTATGCTACTATATCTACCCCTCTCATTCATTCATATATATATTATATACACACACACACACATGTATATCTTGATTATAGATATATAATCTATAATCTGCCTCTGATGGCGCAGTGGGTTAAACCGCTGAGCTTCTGAACTTGCTGACCAAAAGATTGGCAATTCAAATCCAGGGAACAACATGAGCTCCCACTGTTAGGCCCAACTTCTGCCAACTTAGCAGTTTGAAAACATGCAAATGTGAGTAGATCAATAGGTACCGCTTCTGTGGGAAGGTAACGGCGCTCCATGCAGTCATGCTAGCCATGTGCCCTTGGAGGTGTCTACTGATAACGCCGGCTATTTGGCTTAGAAATGGAGATGAGTCCCAGAGTCAGACATGACTAGACTTAATGTCAAGGGGAAACCTTTACCTTTACCTATATTTATTTTATTGTGTTATTTTTTGATTGTGTTGACCGGGCTTGGTCCCCATGTAAGCTACCCCGAGTCCCTTCAGGGAAATGTTGGCGGGATAGAAAAATAAAATTATTCTATATTATTACAACAACAACAACAACAACTATTATTATTATTATTATTATTATTATTATTATTATTATTATTATTGCCAGGGACTCACCTACACAGTCACAGGTGGGGAACTCGGCTTGGGCCCGCTTGGCCGGTGTGTCCAGCAAGCTCTTGGTGGGGGTGTCCAGGTACTTCAGGGGGGATTCCAGGAACCCGCTGAGGGTGGGCGTGAGTGGCGGAGGGACCTCCCCCTTGGTCGGGGTCCCTTCCATGGAAGCTGCAATGTCCCCTCCATTTTGGTTTCCATCAGAGTAAAAGCAGGTGGTGGAGAGCACCGTGATAGCACCAGATGATTCAATCTTGATCTGTTTGGGGGTGCGGGGCCCGAAGGGGCTCTCGAAGGGGAACGGCCTGGGGTCCCTGGGCCCTTGGGAAGACCCTTGCTGGTCCTTGCCATCAGACCCTGAGCTGACTGGAGGCTCCGGGGAGCGACACAGAGAAGACCGCAGCGGCTGGGCAGCTGGAAGTGGTGGCCCTTCGCCTAAAAGATCAGGATTCTGAAAGCCAAAGCTGTCTCCGAACTGGGCCTCGAAGTGCTGGATGAGCTCCTCCAGGTTCTCCACTGGAAGGGGGTTCTGGGAGAAAGGGGAAGGTTCCGGGGCTGGGGGGCCAAGGGGGGCGGGGGTAGCGGCAGAGGAGCAGGCCGGGTTCTCTGGACACAAGCCCTGGCCACCTCCATCTGGCATTTCCTGAGTGTTGGGTCTGTTTTCAAGTAGCTTCTGCAAGGGGGACCGCTCCGGCGGGGTCGGCGTCAAGGGGGTGCAGGAGGGGATGGAAGTTGCCGTGGAAGTCACCTCGGAAGTCATGGCGGCGGTGGCAGACATAGCAGAGTGATACCCCTCCAGGCTGATCTGCGCCAAAGGCAAGAAAAGAGGCTGGACGTCCTTCTGCTTTGGCCGCTTGATCTGAACCGCTTTCCGGAGCGGCTTTGCTGGGCTGTTCTTCTCCTGCGGGGCCTTCCTCCTCCTCTCCTTGGTTGGCTTCTCTGCTGCCGCTTTGGGGAGCTGCTGCTGGGGTGGGGGGCTGGGAGACCACCAGGCGGGCAGCTGCTCCTGTCGGATTGGGGGTCCTTGCGGAGGCGGCGTTGATGTTGCTGCCTTCTGCTCCGAAAAGAGGCTGCGCTTGTGGTGGAGGTGCTGCTGCAGCGCCGTCCTGGTCTTCTTGTGGAAGTTGGGCTCCTGCAAGAGCTGAGAGAGGTGCGGGCTGCAAGCGGACGGCCTGCGGTAGCCGGCATTCTCGTCATTCTGTGCTGGCTGCTCCTCATTCACCATGGTCACCCGGCTCTTCTCCGGTGGCCGCTTGAAGACGGCTTGCAGGCCCTCCATGCCGGCGCTATCCAGGAGCTGCTCCAGGTTGGCCATGGGGTCGACGCTGAGTGGCGAGGCAGTGGCGTTCAGGCTCCAAGGGCTGCCCCTCGCCCTGGCAACCTCCTCCTCACCCCACATGTCGGGGAAGTCTGCCTTTTGCGGAGTGGAAGCAACATTGGGGAAGAGACCCGTGGGCTCCAGGTGACCGTTGCAAGGATCAAGGCGGTAGAGGCCCGTGTCCTGAGTGACCTTGGCTCCCGACGTCCAGGAGGAAGGAGATGAAGATAGAGAGGCCCCCGGGAGGAGGCGTTGGCCCCCAAAGTGTGGCTTCGAAGCCGGATACGCACCCGAGGCAGACCCCGATAGCACCGAATTGGGGCGAGGGGCCGGGAAAGGAGCAGTCTTGGGGGTAGCCTCGGGGAGGACAGCCGAGAGCTGGGTCAGGGCTTCGATGGCGATGGCCGTCTGGAGGCTGATGTTCTTCTCCTTGGCAATGCTGAGGGCACTCTGGGAGAGGGGCAGGGCCTCTAAGGGGCACCGGGGTGGCTTCTCCTCAGGGGCCACTTCCAGGTTAGTAGCACCGTTGCTGAAGGGGGTTGGGGTCGCCAGAGGGGCTGGGCACAACGGCTGCGGCTGAGATGGTGTCTGCCTCCCACTGGCTGACCGGATTTTCCTCTCCAGCCACTCCAGGTAGTCCGGGCACTCGGGCCCATCGCAGTTGCAGTTAGGGGGCTTGACACCATGCCTGGCCAGTGCCAGGGCTGCCTGGAGGGCGCTCAGGTCCTCCGGTCCGTCGGGTGCAGCAGAGGGCCCCGAGAGGCTCTCCCCGGCCTTCATCTCGGCATTGAACTTCTCGTAGAGCCGGACACTCAGCAGGGAAGGGGAGGACAGAGGGGGCAGTCCTTGTGAGGACATGGCTGCTTCAACTGCCGCTGAGAAGGCCACCAGGTTCTGGGCATCCTCCAGGTTGGCATTGCAGGAGGAAGAGGAGGAAGCAGGGGGTCTTCCATGGCTCTCCCAGCTGGTCACCTGATCAGCACATAGGCCACCTAGCCAGGAACCTCCATCAGCCAGCATGGTGCTGCCTCCTCCTCGTCCTCCTCGTTCTCCTCCTCGTCCGTCCATCCGCTCCCCTCCGCCGCCATTGGTCAGGCCTCCGCTCAGCCTCCTTTCTTCAACCTGGTGAAAGGGCCCCTCTTCCATCTGGCCTGTTGGGGGTCCATCAACCGAACTGCCCTCCAAACCAGTCTGGAAGACAAAAAGGAGGGAGAGGAAAACACAAAGGGTGAGCACCAAAAGAACTGAAGGACAAGCGATTCTCTTCCATGAGAAACAAGAGAGTAAAGACAGAACCCAAATGTCCACACCTTGGGTGGGGTCACACTTGGTGTCCTAAAGCCTTTGGATGTGGAGCAGAAGCACATACCATGGTGGCGACAGAATCAATGTTATGACTATTACAATGAGCTGAGCATCAAACACAGCAATGTCCAAACACAAATCAAGGAACATGAAAGGCACTGCAGACTAATAGACCGGAGAAGTCAGCATCCACCCAAACATCCAATTCACTGCTCTTTCTGGATGCCCTAGTCATCCGCAAACCCAATCAACAATTGGGCCACACAGTTTACAGAAAACCTACACACTGATATATACCTACATAAAAACTTCAACCATCACCCAAGTCAAACTGCAAGTCGCTTCTGGTGTGAGAGAATTGGCTGTCTGCAAGGACGTTGCCCAGGGGACGCCTGGATGATTTGATGTTTTATCATCCTTGTGGGAGGCTTCTCTCATGTCCCCGCATGAGGAGCTGGAGCTGATAGAGGGAGCTCATCCACCTCTCCCCGGATTTGAACCTGCGACCTGTTTGTTTTCAGTCCTTCTGGCACAGGGGTTTAACCCACTGTGCCACCGGGGGCTCCATAAGCGACGTGCAGTTTCTCAAGTCTCTCCTGACACAACAACAACAACAAAAAAACAAATTAAAAAAAAGAAGCACAATGTGTCAGCCCTGGCAGAGCATGCAAAAAGACCACCTCCTCCAAGGTTCTCCAGGCCAATGGAGACTCCACCACAGAAATCAGAAGAGCTGCAAGACCGAGAACAAGCCACAAGCGTCAAGACAATGATCCACCTGAAGGAAAAGTGTTCTTGCCATACATCAAGGGAACCACTGAACGCAGAGCTAACCTGAGGAAGAAACACAACCTACAAACTATCTACAGTCCCACCAAGAAAATCCAACCAATGCTTCGTTCAGCAAAGAACAAGAGGGATCCTCTCACCTCTGCAGGAGTCTCCTGTATACTATGCAGCTGGGGGCAAGGTGTCTCCATAGGGACCACCCAACGCAGCAGCATTGCCCAGACATGAATCAAGGAGCATGAAAGGCACTGCAGACTCATTCAACCAGAGGTCAGCCATAGCAGAGCACCTGATGAGCCAACCTGGACACAGAATACTATTTGAGAATACAGATATGCTGGACCACTCTCACAACCACCATGTCAGACTACACAGAGAAGCCACTGAAATCCACAAGAAGCATGTGGACAATTTCAACAGAAAGGAGAAAACCATAAAAATGAAAATATGGTCACCGGTATTTAAAAAAAACTCTAAAATCAGCACAGTAAAGAAAGAACACTCAAAAACAAGGGAATTCCAGACAAGAATCATTCAGGGCAAGGGAGCACCTCCAAACAAAGGATTCCCATGGGCAGCAGGCAGCCAGGCTTTGAAGGTGCAAGGCCATTCAATGCTAACCAAGGTGGCCAATGGCAATATTCACAGTTGCCTCAAGCAGACAAGAGTTCTTTCTCCCACCTTGGCCATTATTCCACAGATATATAAACCCCACTTGCCTAGTTTCCAACAGACCTCACAACCTCTGAGGATGCCTGCCATAGATGTGGGTGAAACATCAGGAGAGAATGCTACTGGAACATGGCCATATAGCCTGGAAAAGTCACAGCAACCCAAGCTAAGCATCCCTTATCTGAAATATCCCCAAATCCAAAGTGGTCCACCTGTGTGGTTCAGAGAGCGGCACCTTTGCTTTCAAGATGGTTCCGTGCACACAGACTTTGTTTCTGGCCCAAATAGTATTCAGCGTGAAACTACATTCAAGCTATATATACAACATACATAGGAAACAGGGGTGGGTTTCGTATTTATAGGCTTGGGTCCCATCTCTAAGATATCATATAATGTCCATATATGGAAGGTACACCAATACGGAAAGCTCCAAAATGGTGCAAATGCCAGGTACAATGTGTGCAAAACCCTAACCCTAACCCTAACCTCTGCCTTATTGACAGAATCCTAAAGTTGGAAGACCCCCCAGAGGACATCCAGTCCAACCCTCTTCTGCCAGGCAGGAAAAGCGCAATCAAAGCCCTCCTGACATCTAATCTCAGCTTAAAGGCCTCTAAGAAGAAGAGGACTCCACCACCCTTTCCTAAAGTTTCCTATTTGTTGCGGAACACATTTCTGGCCCAGGAAGGAGTCATGGTGAATAGTGATTTCTCTGCTACTAAAGATATCGAGAAAGGAACATAGGGGGCAAGATATCAGCCTTCTGACCCACAGTCATTTTTTCTGTCTGCAGAGGAGCTACTCAAGCAACCAGGACAAGAAACGCAGACACTAAGCAGGCCTATGGAGGAGAGCCAAGCGGACGCCGCCAACTGATCCCTGACCGACTTGGAAGAGACTCAAGCAGCGGCCGGACTGGCCTCCTCTGCCCTTCCCTTCAGCACAGACCAGTCTCACCTAGAACCTGTTTAGAATCCTAGCGTTGGAAGGGAACGCCAAGGGCCATCCAGTCCAACCCCTTCTTCCCTTCTGACAGATGGCTACCAAGTCACTGGTAAATACAACTGACAGAGAGGACAGAGAGATATGAGAAAGAAAGAAAGAAAGAAAGAAAGAAAGAAAGAAAGAAAGAAAGAAAGAAAGAAAGAAAGAAAGAAAGAAAGATAATGATACAAGGATAGATCAAGGAATCCTAGATTTGGAAAGGAACGTCAAGGGCCATCCAGTCCAACCTCTTCTTACCTTCTGACAGATGATCACCCAGTCATTGGTAAATACAATTGACAGAGAGAAGACAGATAGATATGAGATAGATGATAGATAGATAGATAGATAGATAGATAGATAGATAGATAGATAGATAGATAGATAGATTATGATACAAGGATAGATCAAGGAATCCTAGATTTGGAAGGGAATGTCAAGGGCCATCAAGTCCAACTCTTCTGGCCTTCTGACAGATGGCCACCCAGTAATTGGTAAATACAACTAACAGAGAGAAGACAGCACACACACAGTCCAACCCCTTCTGCCAAGCAGTAGGACACCATTTAATGCCTCCTGACAGATGCCCACCCAGCCATAGATCTTCTCTCTTTTCTGCCTTGGTCGGACCAAGTTACCTAAAATCACACTGTGTCCCATTTTGGGCACCACCATGGATGGGAGATGTTGACTGGAATGTGTCCAGAGGAGGTCAACTCAAATGATCAAGTCTCTGGAGAACAAGCCCTATGAGGAGCGGCTTAAAGAGTATGTTTAGCCTGCAGAAGAGAAAGCTAAGAGGAGACAGGATGAGGGCTATGGATCGAGATGTGATGGGAAGTCATAGGGAGGAGGGAGCAGGTTCGTTTTCTGCTGCCCTGAAGACTAGGACGCAATGGAGCAATGGCTTCAAACTACAGGAAGGAAGGGTAATCCCCCTGAACATGAGGAAAAACTTCCTGACTGTGTGAGAGAGCTGTTCAGCAGTGGAACTCTCTCTCTCTCTCTCTCTACCCCTGCGTGTGGTGGAGGCTCCTTCTTTGGAGGCTTTGAAACAGAGGCTGGATGGCCATCTGTCGGGGGTGCTTTGAATGCAATTTTCCTGCTTCTGGGCAGAATAGGGTTGGAATGGATGGCCCGCCAGGTCTCTTCCAACTCTAGTATTCTATGATTCTATAAAACTTAGTTAAACAGTCCTTTTATAGAGACATTTGCCCAACAAGGCGGATATGAAATGAAGAAAGGAATAGCACCAGATAGAAGTTGGCGAAGCAGTGAATCCAGCTGCAATTCGGCCTGAAAGAACTATCCAATGTGCTGAAATCAATGTGGAGGAACTGGGCGTCACCATGGGGAAAGCCCTTTAACGTCCAGCCTAAAACCATGAGCAGATTCACTGCACAAATCCATCCTTTGCTCACCACAATCTCAGGGGATGAAATTGCTAGAAACCCTTCCAGGAAAGTCAGGCCCAAAGCAGCTCGGGTTCTGACCCCAAAAGTGGAGCTCAAGTTCCAAAGGGTTTCTATGATTCTTAAATCCTCATCTTCGTGATCTTAAAACTGCTTGGAAGGCAGAAACCAAAGGTGAGGAGACCCAGCTGAGTGTTAGATGTCTAGGGTGGTGTCTTCACTCTTCTCTCTTGTTAACGTTATGCTACACTTTTGGAAAAAAATTGTGTTCTCCTATGAAAGGGAATGTGTTGCTTTTTTAAACATTGCCAGGCTTTAAGTTTTGCCTCTCTTTCAGATTGATATAGATTCATAGATTTGTTTAATATTGGGTTTATCTCTGTGTTTTAAATTATTTCGATGTTACCTTCTATGTTTATATGTATTAGGTTTTAATTCACACACTGTTATGTTTTTAGCTGTTTTGAGTGTCCTGTGGTTAGGAAGAAGATGAAGAGGAGGAGGAGGAAGTAGAGGGAAAGGAGGAGGGGGAGGAGGAGGAAGAAGAGGAGGGAGAGGAAGAAGAAGAGGAAAAATAAGAGGAAGAGAAGGAGAAGAGGGGGAGGAAGTAGAGGAGGAGGAGGAGGAGAGGAGGAATAAGAGGAAGAGGGGGAGAAAAAGAGGAGGAAGTAGAGGAGGAGGAGAAGAGGAGGGAAAGGAAGAAGAGGAAGGGAAGGAAGAGGTAAAGGGAAAGGAGGAGGAAGAGGAGGAGGTAGAAGAAGAAGAGGAAGAAGATGAGGAGGAAGAAGAGGAGGGGAGGAAGAGGAAGAGGGGAAGGAGGAAGAAGAGGAGGGGAGGAAGAGGAAGAGGGGAAGGAGGAAGAGGAAGAAGAGGAAAAGGAGGAAGAAGAGGAAGAGGAGAAATAAGAGGAGGGGTAAGAAGAGGAGGAGGAGGATGTAGAGGGGAAGGAAGAAGAAGAGGAAGAAGAAGAACAAGAAGACGAGAGGAGGGGGAGAAAGAGGGGAAAGAAGAGGAGGAGGAGGAAGAGGG